CGCGAATATCAGCCCTTTTCTGCCTGCACACGAAAGTGTGAGTATCGTGTGCATAATTGTGTGCTTGAAAGCCAACATTTCAGTTTCAAATGAGCAAAATTTGTATTATCTTTACATTCTAATGTCACAATGCAAGTTCTCTGCTACCGCTGGGCTAGGTTTTAGTTTATTTCATGTTGACAAAAGGAGTGATTTGGGGGTAAATTGGTCTTCGCATTCTCAAAGTTTCAATCACCGTGTGTAACATGTTGATTTATTACAATACGACTGTTTCATGTCAGGTGCAATTTGGAGGCCTAGTTCACAACAGCCGTACACTGGCCAGGCGTTCGGGGAACCGCGGCAACTTTAGAAATACAAACCTTGTGATTGTAAGTTATCATTGGCAAATGTATATCTCCTAGAAATTGAATCTTTTATGTAACACTTGTTGTATGAGTTTAGATTGAGATTCAGATCCATAACTTTTGTAATTAATGTTGCAAACAAGTAATTTGTAACAATTTCATGAGACCAAGCATAATTTGACTCCAGTCCTAGTGTTTTGATTTGTGTCTGTTTGTCTTGATTGTCCTTGGCTTCCTTAAATCTAATCATTTGAGGGGACCTCCTTAATGGCTTCCCGCTACATTAGATATTACAATTTTCAGTCATTTATAACTCGTGTACAAAGGAACAATTACGTTCATACATTGTAATGTGTTAGGCCATGCCTTGATATATATGTATATTTGATAACCGAAGTTAAGGTCGTCTGACCTTCAATTTCCTTTCGGGGCTACCGGAAGGTCGAAGTTAGGTGAATTCAAAATATATGAGCCTCAAATCAAAACAAACTATTATTTCCTCCAAACGATTGATGTGATAATAATAAAACTTGGTATGAGCTTGACTCCGGTCCGAAGATGTGCGATGTCATCATGACGCCATCAGGTATCAAATTACGAGCGTTTTAAGAGCAAAATTTTACCAAAAAAATTGAACTATATCTTTTAAACGAAATAGAGTACCGTTTTTGGTGAGGTGGCAACATTTCTATTTTCGGGCACAAAACTGCTTGACTTTTACTTCCGGTGTTACCGGAAATGCAATGAAAATTGAATTTAACTTGAAATCGGAAGCATTTTACTACACCAAACAAATAAAAGAAGCATTGAGTGAGGAATGCCAAACACAAACACGGCAATATGACGTCATCACCCCCAAAGGGAGCCCTCTCTTAACGGCACATCAAATACAGTTAAACTTGCTTGAATTTAAAATTCATTCGTCAAACTTTTATCAAATAACCCCTAGATATTATTTTGGACAACCACTAATGGCCTCACAAGCTTTCAGAATCATGACTTCATCAGAACTGAAGTTATGGTAGGGAGAATTTGAAAATGATCACTTTTCCGTTTTTCTTTAAAATTTAAATCCGTTATTTAATCTGTGTCTAATGTTCGTACCACAAAATGATACCAGTACCGTGACGACCATTGGGCTTCAAAATTCCCTGACGTCATCAAACCGGAAGTGATGTGTTGTTAATGTGTTAGGTGCTGTTCATTATAATTTCCACATTTTCAGAGGTTCTTTTCAACTCATGATGAACATGTATCTTCTCGGAACTATTATTATCAGTATTCAGTTTGCACACGTCATCAAACAAGAACTAACGTGTATGGTACATACAACGTACTGACATGTTTCATACCCCAAAAGATGCAATATAATTTTGATAATTAAAACAAAAGATTGGTTTTACTGAAAATGCTGAATTTCATGATCCTTTTTCTGTTCTGGCAAAAAAAATATTCACAACTGAGCAATAGTCCTAGTTTTGGATATGTTTTCGTTAACGCTTGGATATTAACTGGAAAGTAGGGGTATTTCCTGGTACAAAAATGCCCTATTTTGTTTTTATCACTGCTAAAACTTATAAAATCACGCGTTTTGAAGCACACATTTACGACATTTTATACGAAGCGAAATGTCCAATATACGGGCCTTTTGCCTCGAGTATATGTACACCTGGGCGGGACGAGTCAAAAAGCAAGTGAACTGGATACTGTTTTGTTCCCGTTAAAAAGCAATTCAAGTTCACACCAATGAGGCTTGAACTAAATGGGCATTTTCCTTAACTCATGCAATAAGGAATTACTGATATTGATCCATGCTTTCAGAAGTTGTGCATGTTTTACTAAAAGAACCCATTTTACAGCTGTCCAAGGAATGCTACATGCTTTGAAGCTATCGACAATCCCGGCCAAAATGGTTGGGACACTTCCTTAGCCTGCCACGGTCACCAACTCCCCCGCTCCCCCGGTCAATGTTGTTCTCCCCAGCTGATGGAGCACACCCCGCGCAATGAGAGACAACATTGAGCGGGGGCCGGGGCCCAGCGAGATTTGGCCAGGATTGTAGCTGATTGAGAACCCGATAAATATTACACACCGGCATCCAAATACAAAAGAGATTTTAATAATTTGAGACGAAACTAAAAAACAGTATTTTTACTCTCAAATGTTTTCGTTGTGTATATGAGAAACAAATCAAGTTTTCCAATGAAATAATAATGCTGATTTTTCCCCCGTTTTCGTTCATTCGTGGAGTTACGAAAACCTCCATTGTCCATTGTATTTAGTGTATATCAATGCATATCGGTAAATCATCAGTAGTGGACAGCTCAATTTCGTGATATTAGTGTTAAATAGAAATAAATTGTGTATGCATTAGGCAGAGTACGTGCAATTTTCACAGTTACTAGTCAATAACATGTTCCTTAATTCCTATTGTGAGCGACCCACATTATGTTTAATGTTTCCTTTCTAACTCGGTCACTTCACTCGCCCTGTATGTTTGAATGTTAACCAACGACTTGGAGACGCTATGTGTTCGTCTGGTTAGGTAACGAGACTACATAACATTGTGTCAGTGTTAATTGCGAAAAAAAGGTCTGCAAACCACTTTTTTTTCCAATTCAATAATCAATACAATTTGCCAAAATACATGGTTATGGTTTTGTATATATTTTCAACGATTGTCGGCCGACCAGCTTCGGAAAAACCTGATTTTTTTTTAAAATAATGCCATAAATTTACCAATAGAACTCAATGGTTACATATCCGTGAACGGGTGCAAGCCAGCTAATCTGGTTCCCCGATCTGGCAAGTCCCCGACGTATATAAATTGCTCCGTTTCGTCTGAAGTAAATGTTCTGGGAATAGCATTTTTTCCCCCTTGACTAATGATTTTTCCAGCATCTATGAATGCAAAACTTCAAACAGGTCAGTGTAACAGTATTTGCTATACAATACTAGCTCCCAAATCCATCCATTTCTGAAAATTACAGCAAAAGCAAATGTTGTATATTACCTTTTTGGCCTAACAAAAAATTAAGAAAACAAGTACCGTATAAATACCATTTTCGTCAAAGTCTAACAGTAGAGCACTCCGATCATCAACTCGAAAAATCGCACAGTAAAGACAACTGCCATGTTTGACATTTGATATTGGTATCAGTTTGGCGATGAACAATTAAGTAGACTCGATGGACCTTATTCACGAGTCGGCCATATTGAATTGAAAGTGAGGCAAAATCTTAGTTTCTGGAATTTGCGAAGAGAAATGAAAGCAAGTTAATTCATAGTTAATTCCGGTCTGCTTCAATGAATAATTTCAAATTTGTATAAAATTCCCTAGTGTTATACCAGACTAACCAAAAAAGACAGTAAAATAAGGCTGCATTAAATTAAATTAAAAGTCTGGCGCCATCCCATTCAACAGTTAACACTTAATGACAAACGTTTAGGGAACTCGACAAAAATGGCCAACTCGTGAATACGGCTCATACTGTTCAAAGCCGAGGAGCTGAATTATTTACAACTTACTGAGTCCCCTGCTAATAATTTGTTTCACAAGTTGTATAAAGCAACTGTTCCGTGGCGGTTATTCTGATCAAAAGCTGACACAATGCTTCCACAATTAGGCCTTCGTGAGTTTGCAATAATAAGAAATGAGATTTGTACACATAAGCCAATGTAGACTAGAAAACCTGGTTTTGATACGGTACATACACCGTGTTTCATGCATTTGTGATTTTACGCATACTATGGTTGTTTCCTAATTGAGCCGTTCTCTCAAATTCACACGACATGGACACAGATTGTCAAGTAAAAATGATTGTAAATTCCAGTGCAAGAAATGGTAGGGCCTACGTTGTTCATATATCTAGCACTGCCACGTAAACGTATCTTATTAACCTATACGACAGTATAGCCCAAACACATGCATGGATGGTATTCCGTCCTAATGTTTGAATACGTCGCTTCCTTTGATGTATTCGCGGCCGGACATTGTGTGTACATAGGTCTCAGCTTCCGACGTACAGATTACGAGCAAATTAACCATGATAATGCATCATGCAGGGATGCTTTTCAAGATAATTAGCGTTGACATTAATCTTCTACTAAGTAATAATTACTGTTTTTATACGCTCATAATTTGAGCCCGCCTTCTCCGATCGATCGTTATATGCAAGAACGAGTTTGATAGAACAGGGACGTAGCTTCTTCTTCTTTTTTTACCTAAACGGTGCAACAACATGAAAGGTCATCAATCAAAGTAAAGACAAAGTCATTAGGGACGCGTGTGGTGAAGGAGGGACAGTGATTTATCATTGTCTTTAAGGACTGGCATTTTCCCCGTTTAATAAGACTTCACGTTAAAAGAAAGGTGGCAGTGTTAGGTTAGACAGTAACAGGTCAACAACGGCGAACAGATATATTGGTACATGTGTTTCATACATCGGACGCTATACAAGGATTCGTGACATCCAATTATTGAAACCATGCTTTAGAAACAACACACTTCAATCGAGTCAGGCAGATTACTGCTGTGGACAGTGTTCCTTTATGTGAATTGTACTCGATGGTTAATTCGAGCGTGAGGTTCTTTAAAAGCATGTAACTAATTGAGCGTATGTTATTAACAGTCAGATCCCAAGGAAAGTAAACATGGAGGAATCGGGCAATTTCAGCGGGCAGACTTATAGCGGCTATTCAGAGTTATCTACAGGAGAGAAGATCACTTGTATCGTACTGTATGCTATACTGATGATTCTGATAGTCGTAGGAAACGGGCTACTCCTGTATGTAGTCATCAAAGCCAAGGAATTGAAGAGAAGCAGCCGCATCTTTCTGGTTTCGCTGACTGTGGCCGACCTCTTCCTTGGTCTTGTTGTCATCCCAGTGCGCGTCGTACCGCAGATCATTGGCATCTCAATCGGCAGCAACTGGACCGCGCCTGACCGGTTCTGCGAGGCGTTATACGTCCTGCAAATCGTCGCAATTGGAGCCTCAGTCCTAACGGTACTGGCCCTGAGCATTGAGAGGTATCTGGCCGTGGAGATGCCGCTGAGGTTCCGGTCCATGCTGACTTCTTGTCGAGCGTGCGTCGTGGTTGTTTGCTCCTGGCTCATGATCCTTTGCACGGCGTCCATCCTCATCCTCCTCTCGGTGGTACTCGAGGGTCGATTCGTAGTCTTTGACGGGTATTCGTCGTTGTGTATCGTCAACAGACAAGGTGGGGCGACCCTTTTCGTGTTTCTTGGCTTCATCGTTGTGTATTTCCTCATACCATTTTGCGTCACTTGTCTTGCTTCGATTCGCATTCTGTACATCGTAAATCATCACGCCGCATTTCAGAAGCGCAATAAGCCGTCCGACTGCAATTGCACGTGCAAACACACAGCAGAGGCGAGCGGAGCCAAACAGTTGCCCCAAAGGTTGTGTAATGGAGTTTGCCGCGGACTCTGCAAGTGTTTTCTTGGCAATAAGAAAGCCTTGGTCACCGTTCTTATTCTCACGCTTTCCTATGCAGCCTTCAGTGTTCCATTTGTTGTTTGTGTGTTTTACATGAAGTTTTCTCCCTACATTTTTGACCAATTCCTTGTTGAACTAGCAACGTTGTCATTGTTCAGCAGCTGTTTCATCAATGTCATCGTATACACAGGACGAAACAGGGCGTTCAGAGGGTCAGCCAAGCACCTTCTTTGCCGACTGCTCCATGTGAGATGCAACACTGTTAGAAGGCAGCCAGTCAGATCGCAATCCGACAACCTGAATGTCAGTGTCTCCACCCAAGATACACACTTGTAAGACACAACAGCCTTTCCTTTCATTGTGGAGCCAGAAGATATTTTAGTGTAGTACGCACTGACTTGATGATGGTCGAAACTTGAAAACATTTGGTTTGGATCCCAATCAACACTAAGATTTTGTATTTCTGCTCATAAATAGACCATGACATTTGGCTAACCTATGGTAGGAGCTATGCAACTCAGTCGTGTGTTGGCTACACTTGCTGTACCTGTATTATTACGAGCATTCCTGCTGTTACGACCACAAACACGGGCTACCGTTGACCGGAACTCCCCGTTGCGTCTGGTGTGGACGAGCACGTTCAGAAGGTTGCTGCAGGACCTGACAATCATGGCGGCGCTGATGCCATACAAGGAGAATTCACGAGTCCAGTAGGAGTAGACTAGGAGCACACTCAGGGGCAGGGAAGTCAATGCAGCCCCACAGTTGACCATCAGGAAAGTAGTCAGTGACTTAGTTTCGTTGGAGCGCTGTTGGGATGGGTGGCCAGGCGGAGTGATGCGTGCCAGGCGTGCCTTGTGACGGTGTACAATCAGACGGATCCTTCCGTACAGCACAAATGTCACTGCCAAGGGCAACACCACCGTCCCACTTGCATAAAGTAACAACAGCAAGATGTAAGGTTCTATTTTGGATGGACTGATTCCCGCAAGGCACCAATGCCATTCCGATCGGTGGTGCGGCAGGGTTCCGAAGTACACACCATAGGCGACTGTAACACTGACCATCAGTATCCAGAAGGACCAGACGATGTTATACGCCCGACGCGCGGTCAGCAGAGACGGGTACCGAAGAGGCTTCTCCAGGGCAATGTAGCAGTCACATATCAGAGTCAGGAGTGATATAAAGGACCCACCGTTGAAGAGAATCCCTCCCATAAAATAGGCCTTACAGAGCCCCTCTGCAATGTCGACAGGGACCAAATGTCCTACGGCTACCGTTGCCAGGAGGGACCCGCTTGAGAACAACCCTGCGCACAGGTCCGCAACGATCAGGGACACGATGAAAATGCGGCTCACCTTACGCATCTGACGGGAACTTTGGATGACGAAAAAACAGAAGATGTTCCCGCTCACGATGAAGAAGACAACGATGGACAGTGAGGAGATGCGGAGAACGTCAAACCATGGAGGGGGTGACTTGTAGTCCAGCCCGTCCACGGTGCTGTTGAAAGTCATTTTTTTTCGTTCCAGCTCGCACGTATCACACAGTTTGAAATGACTTGGATTTGTTATGCAAGTTCTTACTGCTTATCCGCACTCAGTGAGAATAATGACCCTCCACGTGATTTGAGCAGATGCTTTCACTCCTCCTTAAGGAGGACGCATCCTAGTCAGTGACGCGAGTAAATTCACCTGCGCACATGCAGAAAGTAAAGGGTGAATCATCCCATTATACAAGATCACAGTAGGGGACTCGTGAGTTTGCGTTCATGTGTGAAATGCTGAAAAGTCGAAGGAGAAAAAAATTGATTACTTTTTGATTTTGCTGGCGATATGAGTGGACACTAGCTTGATAGAACATACTAACTGGTTAAAATAATGTCTGCACCGCGCTGTTTTAAATTAATTTACTATCAAATTGTTGTTAGCAGTATTTAGGAGACTGTGCAGTAGAACATTCACATCAAAAGAAAACACCTTACAGTGTTGTCTTCTTGAAGATGCAAACTGCGCAGGAAATAATTTTCCAAAATTTCCTTCGATCCGAATTCACGGATTTGCTACCGTGTACAAAGTGCAATCTCATAGTGGAATTATCTACTGGTGTATGAAACCACTGATTTTTTTTTTTTTTTGATTTTTTTGTCTGACGTGAGTGATTTCCCCCTCATATGGCTAATTAAATGCAACGTGCCCATTGTATTTCTCAGCGCAACGAAACGACGAACCCTATATAAAAGGCGATTCTTTAAAATGCAGTCCGTAATAACATTATTTAATTTACCTTGCTATTGTGGAAATGAATGGCTAAGTATGGAGCCATTGTGTGGCGATGCCTCGAATAATTTTCCGTCTGATTTGTAGCCTGTGTCTGCGATTTTAATTTTATCAAAATGGGAAAAAAATGTCTTCAAATGATTTGCGTTCAAGGACGTCGGAAACTGCGTTGAATGGCACAGGCAGTCTCCTGCATGCTTTAATGTGTGTTTGTTTTTTGTATGAAGAAGTATTTGTGTTTAGGTGTGAGTATGGAAGTACTGGTAAAAGTGATGCAAATGAAAAAAAGTGTGATATTGTGGCAATAGGTGTACACTATTTGTTAGCCCTGTGATAGTGTCCAAAATATAACCACAAAGACAAAAAGACACAAACACACAACCCATACAAAATTGGAATCCCGACATATTTGGAAAGATTTCTAGATGACAAGATGACAATGCAATGATGGTATAGGTCTTTTGTGTGGTAAAAAATCAGCTGACTTGACCTGTCTTTTAGTATTAGTGTTTTTCTAAGCTTTACTCAAGAAAATGTATCCATGATTGTATTAAGAAGTGGCCTTCACACTAATTTTATTTTGTGAAAAAAAACCTTCCTATATTAATACGGGCATTTTCAACTCTAGCTGCGGATTTTTTTGGGATGATGTTAACACACTCGTTTATTTATTACGTTTTAAGCCCATAACATGTTGTTTGAATTGAGTTGAAATAAATATATTCTTAATTATCGCTACTATTTCAGGATAGACGATCAGGATTTCCGATGGTACACGTCGTTTTGCATGTTCTCTCAAAGAAGTTTAACTTTTCACATATGCTCGTGCTTAAACCGTTTTGGATTGGTTCAAAGATACGAAATAATTCATACGTCCCCCAATGTCACTGTTATACCTCACAGCAGCTGAAATGTGCTCTGAAGACGCGCTTTTTTTCAGCAGTACTTAAATAGCTCCTTCATATTTGATCATCGTGCTCTATTGTTTGTATCATCTCCATGTAGTTTCATTTGTGTATTCATTATATTATTGTTCCTATATATAAAGCTCCCTTTTATTATTGTTTCTCTGCGCCTACAGCAATTCGTTCAGGTGGATCCTGTGCATTACAAAATTTTGTCTATGCTATTATAATAACAAGTATAACAATAACTCTTTTCGCCCCAATAGGGTGACTTTCCCATAGACTTGTGCACAAACCTAAACTGTCACCTAACCCAAGTTCACCTTATGTTTTTTCCACGAAATTTAGTATTAGTAATAATTGGACCATGAGGAATCGATCTATATGGTTAGCGACAGCAAAATTCCTTGTCCTACGGGTCGTTTTCATAAAAGGGCGACAGTTATTTTGTCGCCTCAATAAGGTGTATCGCCCTATTGTGGACGGAGTTCGCAAAACCTGTCGCCCTATTACAGTAATAGTAGTAATACCCTTTGGGAGACACTTTAGCGTCATAAGTTATACCTTTGAGAGACACGTCGAATTAGGGAGACATTTCAGTGTCTCCCTAATTCCATATCCCCTACCGTGAGGCAATTTTTTGTCGCAAATAGGCTAGATCGATTGCTCGTGGTCCAATTAGTAAAAATCCCGAAATTCGTGGGGGTAGGATCAGGTAAAATTAGGGTTAGGGGTCATTACAGTTGGGAAAAAAATGTGTGCACAAGTCTACGGGAATGTCTCTCTAATACCCAATTATCGATAACTATTATTATTATTATTATTATTATCATTATTATTATAATTACCCTGGATTGGACATTTTGAAGACATCCCCAAAGACTTGTGCACACAATTTTTTAAACTTAAATGTGTCCTTACCCAATATTCCCATGTCCTTTTTCCACGAATAACGGTATGTTTACTAATTATACCACGAGCAACAAATGTAACCTAATTGCGACAACAAACTTGTGCCTCTAAAGGGGGCTGTGACATTAGGGAGACATGAAAATGTCTCCCTAATGATTGATGTCTCCCATCGTGCGAAGAAATTACGATAACTTGTCTCCTTAGTGATACTGTTACACGTATGATTCCACGGAGAAACCATTGAATCATACTCTTATGCCCAATTGGTTTTTATTAAAAGCATTGCCGTGCAGACAGCATGCCAGAACGAATAATTTCACAGGGAGTTTGGTGCCATTACTAAACCACGTAATGTTTTTTAACAATAATTTCGTCAGTTACTGTTTGGATAGCTGCAAATGAGTGTACTCTACCTTGAAGACGTGAACCTGTGGACCTGCACAAGTTCGCAAACGTTTGCCAGTCTCCGAAGAACGGTCTTGGCGAAAAATTTTGTTTGAAAATAACTCTCCTCGAATGAACACTCCATGCGAATGAAATTAAGGATCAGAAAATCAATAGTGAAATTAATCCTGTCAAAAAGATCAAGTTTTTACTCAAGTTGTTTTCTACAAAAGGGATTCTTTTTCACAGTATTTCAATCCAAATTTATAGTGATTTGCACTCTCAATCTAGTCACTAGTTTGAAACTTTGGAAAACAGAGTACAGTGCAAAGATCGCCATGTATTACCACTGCGTCTTTTCTGTATCAAATACCTATAACAATGTCACATTGAGCAAAGTTAGTTTGGGTATCCATTTGAGATAGGTCTGACGATGTTCAACATCATTTGAACATGCTAATCAATTGTCTAAAAACAAAATAAACGTGTAGTCCTATAGGCCCTATCCATGGGCGTCGCGAGGGGGGGGGCTTCCGACAAGCAAATAAAAAAGGAGAACAACAAAAGAAAAGAAAAAAGAAAAAAAAGAGTCGCGAAATCATATTGTAGTTCGTTTAATGGGTTGGGGGGGGGGGGCAAAACGTCCCTGCACACCCGCGAAAATAATGATCAATCGGGAAAATGCTGGAAAATATAGTGATTCTGGGGGGGAAATGTGCTTTGTCCCCATGGCCCTATCCTGTCTCCATCAGACTTGTTTTCGGAACTCGCTGCTTGTATACAGACTGATCAGAAACAGCATAGAAGTGGTAGGCCTTAGAGTTGGGAACAGTAAGTTTATAATAATAAAATCACCTACGTAGATGAATTAATGATCCCAATTACTTTTTACCCTTTATTTTCACAAACAAAGTGGGTTGTTAGAGAGATTGTAATGTAGGGAATGAACATAAAAACACCCTGATTACTCCCGTAAATTGACATGCAGTGCGTACTTGGCTTTTATTTTTCATTTGTTTGAAAAATACCACACGCGCTTCGTATTCTGCCCCCACCTGATTTACTTAGGGCTTACTTTTTCCATTAAACAAGAACACATTTTAATGACATACAGAGTGTGCCAAAAAAGTGGAACATTCAGAAAACAAATAATTAAAAAATTATATATGACATTAAAGCCTGACTATTTCTCAATCCACTCATTTTTACACCATTCCATTTGGGTCACAAGATCAAGAAATACAATAAATTAAGTGATAGGGTGTAAATTGTATTTGAGCCACTCTCACCTGGACAAGCTGAATCTGGGCCAAGCATTGAATAGGCATTGAAGTTGGTGACATCACAGGTGAGAGTGGCCCAAGTAAAATTTACACCCTTTCACTTAATTGATTGTATTTCTTGATACAGAGACCCAAATGGAATGGGGTAAAAAGGAGTTGATTGAAAAATAGTCAGACTTTAATGTACTATATAATTTCAATGACAAAGTTTTTATTTTTTGTTTTCTGAATGTTGCACTTTTTTGGCACAGTCTGTATGAACCTTTTAGAAATACGCCAATCCCTGGATATAATCCACAGACTACGTATTTTTTTTACCTTTTTTAAAGACCATCAGCTTAAGATTTACTGTGATCAGAGTTGTAATGACTCAATTGACTCGAGTCACAATTTTTAGTGAATCGACTCGACTCGGGTTCCATATGAGTAAATGACTCGACTCGACTCGAGTTCCTATGGATAAATGACTCAACTCGACTCGAGTCACTGCAAGCAAATGACTCGACTCGACTCGAGTCACACAAAAAATCAGTGACTCGTTTACAACTCTGACTGTGATAGTGGCTGTTTTCGCTCTTGTTATACAATAGGCTGCTATCTGTTCAAGATGGACTGTTGTGTTTTTATTTCGAGATTACACAGAAAAACAATCCTCTTGTAATGACTATTTGTCTAGGCACGGAATGATACTTTTCGGCCATACATTCAGTTCTCTCGTGGTAAACTGGTTCCCGCTCCACTTACACATTGATAA